TTGATTGGTTCCACAATTAACAATCTTGCCACCAGAAGTCAAGAAATCAAAAGATTAACTGAATTGGGAAAGTCAGCTATCAGGGACTTCTCTAGAGTAGTGAAGAGCAATGATGTCAGTTTGGAGACTAAGGTGTGCCTGATACAGGCCATAGTCTTTGCAATTACTTGCTATGCATTAGACAGCTGGACAATGAATGAGGATGCTAGAAAAATAGCTCCCTTTGAGTTGTGGTGCTAAAGGAGTGTTGAACACACCATGGACTACCACAAGAACAAGTCTGTCCTGGAGAGAGTGGAACCAGCCTGCTCCCTTGAGGCAAGAATTTTGAAACTCAGTATCACATACTTTGGGCATGTGGCTAGGAGGGACCAGTCCTTAGAGAAGGACATCATGCTTGGGAGGGTGGAAGGACAGCAGAGGATAGGAAGACCCAGGATGTGATGGATTGATTCAGTGTCTGGAACAATGGGATTAGGTCTGCTGGAGACGATGAGATTGGCTCAGGACAGGGAAGAATTCAGAAATATTGTATTAGGATTGCTATGAGTTACAGGCACTTGACAGCACATAACAACAACAAAACAATGCAACTCAAAATTAATTAAATAAGAGAAAATAAAAGCTAATGTGGCTTGAAAACTAGAAGTGTTTTTGAAGGCTAAATTTAATTTTATGAAAAATATAAAAAGACATTTGACTGTAGTCATACATTAAGATTATTTTATAGTATTGGAAATAATAAAATACATCCACAATCACAAAATGCATGGGTTATGCAGCAAAAATGTATATAAATCATAATGCTTTAAAAATTCCAAAACAAAAGTAAAACACAATGCTCCGAATGGATACATTTGTGGTAAACTCAAAATAAAGCAGAGAAATTCTCTAATTTTATACTGTTTGATAATTATTGCTAAATTAATTACTTTTCCAGGTAATATGGTTTTACTTGTGCTTTTAAAATATTTTAGAGACTTAACTATTTAAGGTCTACGCAGCTACTATTGTTTTGGATTTATTTTTAATTTGTGGTTTGGGTGAAAAATTATGGAACAAACTTGTTTTCTATTCAACAATTTCTAAACATCTTATTTCATGGCACTGCAATCCATTCAAAGGAACAACCCTTACTTCCTAGTTTCTCCATTTCCAGTTGTCCTCCTTTCCTAACTTGTACAATTATTTCTACTTTTAACATCACTGTTATGTGCCATGAATTGAAACCGACTCAAAGCTGACTCTCCAGAGAGTTTTCAGAGGCAATATATTACACAGAAGGAAAATGCCCATCCTCCTCCATGAAACAGCTGGTGCATTCAAACCCCATGTCTTTGGGACCACGGCACAGCTTCTTACCACTAGGCTACCACACCTCTCTTCTAACATCATTAGCCTTCAATTTTAACTTATTCTTACTACACTACTACTACTGCTACTATTACCTCTAGTGCTACTGCTACTGCTACTGCCACCACCAAAATTCTCACAATTCTTTATATAACACTTACACTGCAGTAGATAATACCCATCAGGATGAATTCATGTCAATCTAGAACATGCTCATGGAAAATAGTGTTTCTGCAGATCAATCCAATATAAGGTTATACTGGATTAGGGTAGACCTTCATCTATTGACCAATGTCCATTTAAAAGGGTAATCTGCACAGATATATGAGGAAAACAGACACAGTTTGAATCCATAAACTGCTCTGCGGGAACTGGATGGGCAATCTTCTACATAATATACTGACTCTGAAAACCCACTGGAGGGTCAGCTATGGTTCACGGTGATGGCACACAACATGGGGTGTGAGGGGAAGCAAAGTGATAGAGGCAGAAACTCAGTGATTGGTCTATAAACCAAGAAATGTCAGACTGCAATAAATTAGCACAGTCTACAAAGAGGCAAGGAAGAATCTGCCCCTGGAACAGAAAGAGATAATGCAAGCCTGCCAACTCAGTGGTTTCAATCTTCTAGCTTCCAGAGCTGTGAGTTAATAAATTTCTCTTGTTCTAAGTCATTCAGTTCTTGATACTTTACTACAACAGTCTTGGGAAATTAACATACTATTCTAATGCAAATGAATGTGTTATTGTTATTGTTATTGTTATTGTTGTTGTTGTTATAGCGACCCTATGTACAACACTCTAAACTCTGCTCTGTCCTATGCCAATCATATTGTCTCCGATACATCCATCCCAATTACACAAGTCATTGAATCAATCCACCTCAGAGAGGGCCTTCCCCTCCTCTGCTGTCTCTCCACCGTCCCAAGCATGAGGTCCCTCTCCAAGGACCTGTTTCTCCTTACAACGTGTCCAAAGTATTTCAGATGAAGTGTCAGGATCCTTGCCTCCAAGGAGCAGCCCAGTTTAACCCTCTCCAGGACGAATCTGTTTGTTTTCTTAGCAGTCCTTGGTACACTTAATACTCTTCTCCAGCACCACAGCTCAAAGGCATCGATTCTTCTTCTATCCTCCCTAGTCATTGTCCAACTGTCTGACACATAACAAGTGATTGCAAAGGCCATGGCCTGTATCAGATGCACCTTAGTTTCCAGAGAGACACCACTGCTCTTCAGTACTTTGGAGTGGTCCCTAACAGCAGACATTCCCATCGCAATACATCTTTTAATTTCCTGGCTACTGGTGCCAAGAGTGTTGACTGTGGAGCCAAGCAAACTAAAGCTGTGAACAATCTCAATCTCTTCACCATCCATCCCGATGCTGCCAATTGGTCCAGTGGTAACAATCTTTGTCTTCTTGATATTGAGCCTCAATCCATACTGAAGGGTGCAGTCCTTGACCCTCTACAGCAAGTGCTTCAGGTTCTCCTCAGTTTCAGCAAGCAGGGTTGTGTCATCTGCATAACACAGACTGTTAATAGATCTTCCGCCAATTCTGATGCCACACTTATCCTCATAGAGCCCAGCCTCCGAGATAATCTGTTCTGCATCAGGTTGAAAAGGTATGGAGACAGGATGCATCCCTGGCGTACACCCTTCCCAATTTTGAACCATGCAGTGTTTCCCTGCTCTCTTCTGACGACTGCTTCTCGGTCCAAGTAAAGGTTTCGCATTAGCATGATCAAGTATTCTGGGATTCCCATTCTTCTCAGAGTCAGCCACAGGTTGTTATGATCCACACAGTCGACCGCCTTTGCATAATCAATGAAACACAGATAGACATGCATCTGGTACTCCCTGCTTTCAGCTAAGATCCATCTAACATTAGCTACATTATCCCTAGTACCACAACCCCTTCTAAACCCAGCCTGGACTTCTGGCAGTTCTCTGCTTGATGTGTTGTTCCAGTCGTTTTTGGATAATCTTCAGTAGAATCTTGCTTGCTTGTGAAATCAATGATACTGTTCTATAGTTTCCACACTCTGTTGGGTCACCTTTCTTTGGAATGGGAACAAATACAGATCTCTTTCAGTCAGTTGGCCAAGTGGTTGCTCTCCAGATTTCTCGGCACAACTTGATGAGCAAGTCCAGGGAAGCATCTATTAGCTGAAATATGTAAATTGGTATACCATCTATTTCTGGGGCCTTATTTTTTGCTATTACCTTCAAAGCAGCTTGAACTTCTTCCTTCATCACCACAGGCTCTTGAGAATGTATTTGCTAAAAAAATAGGCTAAGAGGAGGGTGGGGTGGAATACAACAGAAACCGACACCCCCAGACTGCTTCAATCCTAGTTTTATTATATATTCTTCAATACTTAAGTCTGTAAGATCCTAAATTTCTGATTCTACAACTGATTCTGGTTTTACAACTTCTAAAAACTCAGAAACTGAAACTCTCATTTCTAGTATTTTAAATAAGCCATGGACATATTATATTACTGGATCATTACCCACTGCCACTGAGTCAATTCCAACTCACAGCAAATGTAGAGGACAGGGTAGGACTGTCCCATAGGGATTTAAAGGCTGTGAAACTCTGAAAGACTGAAAACTTTCTCCCACAGAACCACTGACACTTGAGGAATCTAACCATTCACCATCAGGACTCCTTGCAGTAGTATTAATAAGTTCCATATTACTTGTTGGTTCCCCAAGACAGTAACATGACAGACTCTCACAATTGGAAATTAACCCGTATCTAAAGCTTATTGTTATAAAATTGATAAAACCTGAGAAATCAAGTAACCGAGAGTACAGAAAGTAGAGGTTCAAGAGCAGAAAATATGTTTAAGACACTCTTAGACGTTGTTGTTGTTGATTGCCGCAACTCATAGCGACACAACGAACAAAAGGCTCTTCTATAACTACCAATATTTATCAAAGTAAATAGAATTTCCAGAGGCATGTTGTTTAGGAAGTGGATGCCACTCCCACTTCCAAACCTGTCTTAAACTGGCAGTTCCACCAAATGCTCTCCACCATGGGTAACCATTATTGCATTTGAGACCCCTAGAAATATAACCGAAAATTCTTCAAGAACAACGAGACAAGTGGTAGAACAACAAAGCAGAAACTGCCTTCCTGGTCCTGAGCCCTGAGATAGTCTCACTCAATTGGCCAAGTTGTCATGAAGACCCATGCCCGAAAGAAATCTAACTAGGAATATTTTAATGGATTTTGGTCCTCTGAGAAGAGTTATCCTCTTCTAAACAGAAAGCCTATATTGAGATTTCCATCCACCCAATATGCAAAAACTTGGGAACATATACAAACAGATGATAACCTCTAAGAAGACCAGGCACTCAAATACTTCATTGCTAACCATTATAAAATCTAAACTTATCTTTATAAATTACTTCAAGATAACATTATTTTAAAAATTTAAACAAAAGTGTAAACTAGATATCTTTTTTATTTCTTTCAAGCAGTCTTTTCAGTTTTTAACTTTTAAAAAGATTAAACTGACCTATCTATTTTCAACATTGGTAGAATTTTGGCATTTGTAAATTTGTTAACAGACCTAGCTCTGATATACTGGATTGAGACATGAGGTTTTGAATCATTCTACATGCAAGAACAACTTACAGTAGGGTGATTTCGAGAGGGCGCCCGTTCTCTTGGAAGTCTTTCATAGTCGTATCGACCCTCAGACCACATTTCATTTCCTCTACAAGTCACTAAATGGGAAAAAAAGAAACGAAAGGATTATAGCTTTTGTTTTATAAGAAGCAATGAAGAACAAATGCAAAAATCATTTATCTTCCAGCTACAAACAATTCCAGAGATACTAAGAAAAAAACTGTAAGTGACCAAAGAAAAGAAAACTTTTTCTAAACAAATCTGAAATTTTTATTTTTAAGAAATTGGACAGCTCATTTTCATTTTCTTTTACCTTTTTTTTTATTTTAATGCAAGTTTACAGAGACTTTGGATTTCCATTCACTCATTGTTGAACACTTTCCTCCCTGCCCATCCCTCCCACCCAGTTTGCTTTTCTCTTTGAAAAGTAAAGAATAAAATTCTTTAATTGTTATACAATTCACCCCCACCCTCCCCAAATCCACTCCACTAGGCAGCTTTCATTCTGGACTCTTATCATGACAATAATACCTAATCATATATTTCTCCTAAACAGTTCCATCCCTCATCTGTTTCAATACAGTATATATTATTTATCCCCTCTTTTCCAGTTTCTCCATAACCTCATCAGCATTTGCTGTTTACTGTTCTGTTAAATTTTGCTATTCTTACTGGAGTGAGGTGATATCTCATAGCTGTTTGGATCCATTTTCACTTTCAAGGCTATTTAAAGTGGTGGGTTTTTCCCCATTTAATGTTATAAGGAGCTTGTTCTCACCAGTAGTTGACTGTATCAATATAGAAAAGTATAGAAAAGGTCTATTTTCAAAAATAAAAGACTGATAAGCAACAAAGTTTATTTCTTCTTGGATGATTTGAGTAATATTCTTCTTTGTTTTTAATTTCTATAATCTTTGAAATATAAATAATGAAATAAAATCTATAATGAAATAAAAATTATGTCAGCATTTTGCATGTTTATGATGCAGAAAGATACATTCTATTCAGGAAAATAAGGAACATATTCTACTTGGACTGAGAGCTGACATTTTCAAAATAGAGGGTTAACAATGAATTAAGAGTCATAAAGAATATAATTTCAAGAATATAAAATAAGCATTCTAGTTTCTCCACAACCTTGCCAGCATTTGTTGTTTGTGACTCTGTTGAATTTTGCTATTGTTACGTGGGTGAACTTATATCTCATAATTGTTTTGATTTGCATCTCTTTTTTTATGTGAATAACTTTTATTTAAAACTTACTGATATCCATTCCATTTTTTTAAATTCATTTTAATGAACGTTTACAGAGACTTTGGATTTACATTCATTTCTTGTTTCACTTTTCTCCCTGCCTATCCCTTCCCCTCCAATTCACTCTTCTCTCTGAAAAGTAAAAAAAAAATTCTTAAATTGTTTATACAATCCCTTTCTCCAAGTCCACTTCACTATGCTGCCTTCCTTCATTCTGGACTCCTGTCATGAATAATACCAAATCATATATCCCTTTTAAGAAGTTCTCTCCCTCATCTGTTTAAATGCAGTATACATTATTTAGCCCATCTTTCTCAGTCTTCCCCCAACCTCTATGTCAGTTCTCTTTTGTAACTGTGGCATTATGCAGTATCTGTCCTTTTGTGACTAAGATATTTCACTCAGCATAATGTCCTCCAGAGTCACCCATTTTGAATAATATTGCATGAGTTCCCTGCTTTTCAATACAGCATAGTATTTCATTTATGAATATACCAGTTTCTCTATGCACTCATTTGTTGATGGGCACTTGGGTTGTTTCCAACTCTTTGCTATTGTAAACAAAGCCGCAATAAACATGGGTGTGCATATATCTGCTTGGGTGGCAGTTATGGTTTCTTTGGGGTATATTCCCAGTAGCAGAATTGCTGGGTCAAATGGTATTTCTGCTTGCAACTTTTTGAGAAAGTGCCATACAGCCTTCCATAGTGGTTGCACCATTTTACACTCCCACCAACAGTGAATAAGGGTTCCAGTTTCTCAGCAACCTCGCCAGCATTTCTTGTTTGCCATTCTGTTAAATTTTGCTCTTCTTACTGAGATAATACCTCATAGTTGTATTGACTTGCATCTCTCTTAGAGCTGGGATTTTGAACTTTTTTTTTTATTTTGAACATTTCTTACTGTGTGTGTTCTCCATCTGAATGTCTTCTTTGGTGAAGTGTCTGTTCATATTCTGTGTCCATTCTGCGATTGGGTTGTTTACCTTTATCTTGCTGAGGTGCTAGAGTGTTCTATAAATTCTAGATATACGTCCCTTATCTGACATATCATTACCAAATATTTTTTCCCACTCTAGCTTTCCTTTTTACCCTATTGGAGAAGTTTTTTGATGTGCATAGGGATTTGATTCTTAGAAGATCCTATTCATCTATTTTATTCTATTCTGATTGTAGGTTTTTCAGGATGCTTGGAAGACTGTTCATATTGTGGATTAGGGCTTCTAGACTTCTTCCAAGCTTTTCTCTGTTGAAGTTTATAGTCCTTGGTTTTAGTCCTACGTCCTTGATCCACTTTGAATTGGTTTTTGTATATGGTGTGAGGTGTGGGTCTTGCCTGAGATTTTTGCAGATAGTTTTTCAATTTTGCCAACACAATTTGTTAAAAAGGCTATCGTTTCCCCACTTAACTGACTTCATCTTCTTATCAAAAATCAGTCACATAGGTAGATGGGCTGATTTATAGCTTCTCAATTCTATTCTATTGATCTATGTATCTATGAATGTAAATTGGTGCAACCACTCTTGAAGGCAGTATGGCACTTTCTCAAAAAGATGGAAAGAGAAATGATATTTGACCCAGTAAATATACCCTAAAGAAATCAGAACTGCCACTCAAACAGATATATGCACACCCATGTTTATTGCTGCATTGTTCATAATAGCAAAGAGATGGATACAACCCAAGTGTCCATCAATAAACAAATGGACAGTGAAGCTGTGGTATATTCAAACAATGGAATAATATGCAATACTGAAAAACAAGGAACTCATGAAATATTATATAGAGTACATTGTTGTTGTTGTTATTTGATGCTGTCGAGTCGTAGACAACTCATAGCGACCCTATGAACGAAGGGCCTGAACACTGTTCGTACATAAGAGTTTCCGGAGGCAAGCCATTTCGGAAGTGGATGCCGCTACTGCTTCCAGTAGAGTATATTACGCTGAGTGAAATATCTTAATCACAAAAGGACAAATACTGCATAATGCCACTGTTATAAAATAGGACTGACGTGGGGGTTGGGAAACTAAGAAATGAGGGGATAAATAATGTACGATGCACTGAAGCAGATGAGGGAAAGAACAGTATAAAAGGAATTTATAATTAGGTATTATTTTCATGACAACAGCCCAGAATAAAAGCTGTATAGTAAAGCAGGCCATGGATCTGGGGGGGTGGGCAGTGAGGAAAGTATGCAACAATGAATGAATGGAAACCCATGTTTTCTATAAACTTTCATTACAATCTCAAAAGGAAAAAAAAGAATATAAACACAATTGAATATATGATTTTGGACAGAACAAATCTGTGGCAAGGGGAAGCTTTATTAAAGGTTTTTAAAAGCTAAATAAAGCACAAGATGATCATTTGTTAACAGGCTGGTATACTTGTTCTGGTAAAGGATCAAATAATAAGTATTTGCAGCTTTGCAGACTACGTGCTCACAATTACTCCATCCTATGACTCTATTTTCAAAGGTTGTTTTGTGTCACTAACAACTCTTAAGTCATTCCACGTGTGCCAGAGTAGACTCCAAAGGATCTGTAGTAACTGCGTTCCTTCAGAAGTAGATCACTAGGTCTTGCTTATAAGAAACTTTCTGATAAACCAAAACTGTCAACCTTTCAAACCTTGCCGTCGAGTTGGTCCCAATTCATACAGATTGCACAAGAGTCACAGTAGAACTGTGTACCAAAGGTTTTCAAAGCTGCAATCTTTTGGAAGTGGATCACCAGGTCTTACTTCTGTAGCTGTCTGGGCACTCTGTCAATTTTTCATTTGGCCACCAAAGGCATTAATTATTAGTGCTACCTATGGATGGCACAAAAACGTATGAATGTGTTTGTGTTCTGGTAAAACTTTATGTACAAAACAGAGGAGGGCTGGGAGAAGGGGAGGGAAGGGAGAAGAAAATGTGTACGAATGGAAAAAACTGAAAACATTTTTGACGTGTTGGTTTTTGGGGTTTTTTTTCCAAAAAAAAAAACAAACAAGAAAAGAAAACCTTTTATGTACGAAATAAGCAACCTGCTCAAAGTGGCAGCCTGGCAATTCTTGGAGTAGAGGTCAAATTGTTAACAAGAAGAGAAGAACCAGAGATGACAAAGAAATAAAAAATATTACAGGTTCTGGCCCCAAAACTGTGACTTACTCTTATATATGGATAAATGATTATATTAGAGAAAATAAAATGGGAAGGGACTAAGTGCATTTTAGTACACAGAACAGAAAGGTAACTAATAGAGAGGCACACTGTCCACATCAGTAGAGAAGGAAAATATTTCCAATACAACATATGTCAAAAGGTTTCTGATGCTTCTTCATAATACAATCATAAAGGAAAAGACAAATACCCCATTTTGAAAGAAGAGAATTATGACGTTAGCTTAGACTAGTGGGGTAAGGGGAAGGTTTTAAGTCAAGAACATTATTATTTATACTATTATAGGACAAAGAATCTTAATCATCTCTGCAAAACACAGCTATTAACACACTTTAATATAAATAAACCAATAAAACAGCTGACCAAAATAAAAAAAGATGTCCAGGGAAATCTTTCACTCTTTAAGAGTTACAAATTAGTTTTTAATATCATGCATACATCAACCTTAATTCTAAGTTTACAACCAGACATCTTTAGCAATGTGTATTTCAAAAGCTTCAAACAATGAAGAGTGAAAGAAAAGGAACTGCTATTCTTAATCTTCATCCTTCACCTTTTCTTTACCTCAAATTCAGCCTAAAGCATAAACTGGAAACAGTACAGAAAAATATTAAATAAAATGTCAACAAAAATCTGAGAGATAGATATGTGAGATGGA